AAGGTTCTAGAGGGGAGGGGGGCGGGGGGATGGGTTAGCCTGGTGATGGGTATTAAAGAGGGCACGTATTGAATGGAGCACTGGGTATTATATGCAAACAATGAATCATGGAACACTACATCCAAAACTAATGATGTGAGGTATGGTGATTAATATAACATAATAAAATTAAAAAACAAAAACCAAAACCAAAATCTTGGCAACAATTCCTAGACCTAAATAACAGGTTGCTCCTGATGAAGGGCATTTAAAATAATTTTATATTAGATTACCTGTGACCAAAATCTTCTCTAGCCTATTAAATTTGAGAGCAGAAGTCAATTTTTTCAGATACTAGGGACCTTTTGACTGTTAAGTGACATTCAAATATTCTTTTAAAAAACTTAAGTGTAAGTTTTTTAACATGTGTGAATTTACACAAATCTATTCACTTTGTCACTTGCTTGGATTTGTCAGATGGCTGACTGGGGCTACCTGCTGTGGGGGGTGGGGTGGGGTAACCAGCTTGTTTCAGTTGCTGGAAGGTCTCCTGGTTTTACTGTTGAAACCCCTGTGTCCGGACAAACCAGGCCGCCAGCCAGACTTTGGTTGTAGGCATTGTTTTATGACAAACTGATGCTGTTGGCCTACATGTGGATCAATTCTGTAGCATTTGGCTCTAAAGCAGTTGAGCCAAAGATGCCACCATCTCTTGGTAAGAGTTTAGTTTCTAATTAGGGACTGCTGTGAGAATTGAGAATAAGCAAGGAGGTTGCTAAAACTCTTATGATTTTACCATCTTTTTACAAACAAACTTTTAGAATAAAAGAAAGTTATTTTGTTAACTGAAGAAGGAACCACCTATTCACTTCTTCCTGTAAGATTAAAAAAAAATGAGGCTTTCTGTTAAAATTTAAAAATGACCTACATGGACATAATGAGAAGCTTAACCATTTGATTTTTATGTTACCATACCTTCTATTTTAAAGGTGTAGAATTAGAGGAATACATTGGATCAGAGCAAGACAAGGATGCCAACTTCTATTCAACATAGTAGCAGAAGTCCGAGCCAGAGCAATTAAGTAGGGAAAGGAAATGAAAGGCATCCAAATTGTAAAGGAAGAAGTAAAACTGTCACTATTTATAGATGATATGACTTTACATATAGAAAACCTTTAAAGATTCCACCAAAAAACTGTTAGAATTAATAAATGAATTCAGTATAGTTGCAGGGTAAAAAAATCAGTACACAAAAGTTTGTTGCATTTTTATAATATACTAACAGTGAACTATCAGAGAAATTAAGAAACAGTCCCATGTATAATTACATCAAAAGAATATGATACCTAGAAATAAATTTAACCAAGGAGATGAAAGTCCTGTACTCTGAAAACCATAAGACATTGATGAAAGAAATTGAAGAAGACACAAATAAATGAAAGGTATTCTGTGCTCATGGATTGGAAGAATTAATACTATTAAAGTGTCCGTATTACTCAAAGCAATCTATGGATTCAGGGCAAACCCTATTAAAATTCTAATGGCATTTTTCACAGAAATAGGATAAACAATCCTAAAATTTGTACAGAATCACAGAAGATCCCATCTAGCTAAAGCAATCTTGAGAAAGAAGAACAAAACTGGAGACATCATGCTCCCTGATTTCAAACTGTACAACAGAGCTATAGTAATCATGGTATGGCATTGGCCAAAAAAAAACCCAAACAGACACATTGGTCAGTGGAACAGAATAGGGAGTCTGGAAATAAACTCATGCATATATGGTAAATTAATTTTTGACCAAAGAGGCAAGAATATACAATGGGGAAAGGACAGTCTCTTCAATTAATGGTGTTGGGAAAACTGGACAGCCACATGTAAAAGAATGAAATTGGACCACTACCTTAGGCCATACACAAAAGTTAATTCAAAATGGATTGAAGACTTGAATATAAGATCTGAAACCATAAAACTTACAGGAGAAAACACGGGTGGAAGCTCGTTGGCATCGGTCTGGGCAGTGATTTTTTTGTATCTAACTCCACAGGCAAAAGAAGTAAACAAATGGAGCTACATCAAACTAAAAAATTTCCATACAGCGAAGAAAGTCATCAACAAAATGAAAAGCCTACCTCCTGAATGGGAGAAGATATTTGCATTTCACATATTTAATAAGGGGTTAATATCCAAAACAGAACTCATAGCACAATAACAGCAACAACAAAAAACAACCAAATAATCTGATTAAAAAAGGACAGAGGATCTGAATAGACATTTTTCCAAAGAAATAAATGGCCAACAGGCACATGAAAAGATACTCAACATCACTAATTATCAGGAATATGCAAATGAAAACCATGAATTATCACCTCATACCTTTCAAATGACTATTATCAAAACAATAAGAGATAACAAGTGTTGGTGAGGATGTGGAGAAAAGGGAGCTCTTGTGCACTATTGGTGGGAATGTAAATTGGTGCAGCTACTATGGAGAACAGTATAGGAGTTCCTCAAAAAGTTGAAAAACATGTTCCGTCAGTTTCACTTCTGGGTATTTTGAAGAAAACAAAAACACTAATTCAAAAAGATATGCACTCCTGTGTTCACTGCAGTATTATTTACAATAGCCAAGATATGGAAGAAATCTAAGTGTTCATCAATAGATGAACGGATACACACACACACACACACACACACACACACACACGGAATACTGCTCAGCCTTAAAAAAGAATGAGGTCTTGCCATTTGCAACAACATGGATAGACCGTGAAAGTATTACGCTAAGTGAAATAAGAAAAAGACAAACACTGTATGATTTAACTTACGTGTGAAATCTAAAAACAAATGAACAAACAGAGCAAAACCAAACTCAGATACAGAGAACAGATTCGTGGTTGCCAGAAGTGGGCAAAATGAGTGAAGGGGATCAAGAGGTATAAACCTCTAGTTATAAAATAAATGAGTCGTGGGGATATAATGTACAGCATAGTGCCTATAAGTCAATATTGTGTTGCATATTTGAAAGTTGCTAAGAGAATAGATCTTGAAGGTTCTCATAAGAAAAAATTTTTTAACTTTTATGTGACAGATGCTAACTAGACTTATTGTGATCATTACACAGTGTATACAGTGTATACTGAATCATTATGTCCAGCACCTGAAGCCAATATAATGTTATATGTGAATTACACTGCAATTTTAAAAAAAAGAAAGGAAAAACAAGATACACAGAGAACTAATGGAAAAAAGGATATAGAGAGGCATCTGTGCACCCTGAATTAGAAGTAAGCCATCCATTTGAAATGTGAAATGAAACAGAATAAGCCAGCACACTTCTTCCCCATGATGTGGAATATTTCCCCTGTGCCTTTGGAGAGGTTCAGGAAAAGTTATATCTGACTAGGTGTCCTTTTAAAAGTTTAATTTTTAAAGGTTTCTGTGTGGACTGCAAAAAAGGACAAAATCATTGTTCATTATGCCAAATGGCATAGACTCATTTACAGGGATGACATTATAGTTTTTATATAGTATAGCTGCTATGATTAACGGGTTTTAAATGACATTTATCCCTTGGGTGATGAGACTTTCCCAGAAAAAATCCAATTAATTTCTTCATTACTTAGGTTAAAGTCAATACTGAAAGACTTCTTATGGGAATAAATGGCTTTGATTTTTCTCTCTAGAAACCTAGCTCTGTCCGCATTGATCAACTGGATCGTGAACAGTTCAACCCCGATGTGATTACTTTTCCGATTATCGTCCACTTTGGGATACGCCCTGCACAGTTGAGTTATGCAGGAGACCCACAGTAAGATATTTCTCGGTGTTTGTCTTAGCCAATTTCACCTTCTACTAACAGCTGAATTAGCAAAGGAATACCCTTTAGTGGATGTTTTCTTATTAAAAAATTAAGACCTGAAATGAACCATGTTTCCAAATTTAGGTTACCAAATGAAACAAGTTTTGGTAGCTCCTGAAGAATTATTTTCTCTCTTGATTTGACTGCAGGAAATTATTATTCAATAGAGTATCCTTGGCAATTTTGGTCAACATGAGTCCTGTGTAGTTTTAACTTTTAAGGAACTTTTCCTTTATTCATCATTATAATATTTATTGCTATTATTATTATTTATTTTTTCAGTGCACTCTAGAGGAAAGTAGCACCATGTTGGTTCCTAGCACTGCCGGATTTATGCAGAATTCTATTTTGGGAGGCATCTTAATAAGAGCTCAAGATCCCATGCAAAGTCAAGGGTCACGTTGTAAGGAGAAGGCATGACTTCTGACTCTTAGAATTGATGTTACTTTCCACATTTAAGTTTTTCCAACTGGCTTGTTAGTGTTTTTCTGGGAGAAGATGAGGATGTGTGGGAATGGAAATAGTACCATTATATTCTTCAGAAGTGTTTGGATTTCCTACGTCGGTAAACAAACAAACAGTTTCCTGACTTAATTTTTTTTTTTAAGGATTCATAATGGGAGAAAAGGGCATGGGAGATTTTCAATTCATAAATACAATTCTGGCTGATACATTAGAAGAGGCTAAAGGGTTTTGTTCTTTTTTTTCCCCCTTTGGATAAAAGTATGAAGCAGTGAACCAGGCACTGTGTAAGTACTTCTTTCTTTCCTCCATTCTCTAAAAAATTGTTACCAAAAAGGAGAAACCCAGCTAAGGCCAAGAAAGGAGCAGTTTCGATATGACAGGAAATTCATTGAAAGTCCCTTCTTGTCACAAATGTTAGTAGAATGTGATAGGCTCTCGTGGACTCTCAGATGGCAGGACTGTGTGCTGCTACAGGACTGCATTTCTCTTCATTCCCAGGACGCTTTACCAGGATCCTTTAGACTGATTATCACGTATTTGGCTGCAAGAAATATGCTTATTTTTGTCATGGTAAATACAAATTGGTGCACAGCATTTGTCTTTTTCCCTCTCCAGTGGAGAAATGGATACAGCTGTATAGCTTGGGTATTGGCACAAACAGCGTTCTCTTTTCTAATACTCTCCAACTTTTACTTTCAATGTAGGCAGTTCAGAGACCGACCGTGTCCTTGTTAAGTAAGGGGTCTTTCTTTCAACAACATCAGAAAGTACATATTTAAATAAAATCGGTAATGATGAGAAATGATACATGTTTCTGTTGGTTTTTATGTGTCTTTGGAATTCTTTCCAGAGAGATTTGGACATATATAGTGACACCTCATTTTCAACACAGATGTATAATTACCAACTTAATCACTAGGTTCCAGATGACTCTTGGTCATCCTGCCCCACTGCTCCCAAATCAGATCCTTCCTTAGAATGGTTTGTTGCCATTAAGGATATCCAAAAGAATGTAATTTATGATTCAGCAGGCCTGTTAAAACAGCTGGTTTTATTGCACTTCAGATTCTCCTACTTTTTGTCTGAGATGTTTGTCTGTCCTTTTCCTTAGGTACCAGAAACTGTGGAAGAGTTACGTGAAACTTCGCCACCTCCTAGCAAATAGTCCCAAAGTTAAACAAACTGACAAACAGAAGCTGGCGCAAAGGGAGGTTAGTATCAAATCCTATTCTTCCGGGATTAATGATGATGTGCTTCAGATTTATTTCAAGATTATTGCATTACACCATACTTCTAGAATAAGATGGAAAAATACTTCTAAAAAAATCATACTTTTCTTTCCTTACATTAGTATACAGATTGATTTTTTTTTTCATCTTTTAGTATCTAAGGGAGCATTACCCCCCCCCCCCCGCCCCAGCAAAAGGCCTGTTTCTTAATGGATTCCTACCATTGGGAATAAATATATCTTATTGAAATTTTTCAAATTTTACAATTGCTGGTTCAGCCTTTTATCATTAATTAGACTGTACATAATATAATTTGGGTCTTACTCAAATTTCTTGGTCTTAAGGTTGTAAAAGATTGCCTTCCATATGTCTGTTTAGTAGGGTAAACTTATAAGGTTTTATATCCCAAATTTCATATTTTTTACTTATGGGTAGTATTATCCCTGTATTCCAGGATCATTTATGTTTTAGTTCTTAATTCATAATTTTAAGAATAAATGGATTCAGTATCAACATAAATTTTGTCTCATTGAGGTTTTATTTTGCTTTGGGTAGTATAAGAGAGCAAGGCTTTAAAGCTGGGAAAAGTGTTTGAATTCTGGTCCTCTCACTTCCTGTGACTTGAGCCAGACAGCTTCATTATAAAGAGGGAACCAAGGCTAAGGGAGACTGACTGAAATTCCTCTTGTCGTTGCATCCGGGGAAAAAGGTGGTTGTGTGGACTTCTGAAATACTCCATTTAACTTTCCTCCAATGGTATTTTGATCTGTAGTAGCCATTTAATCAATGGTGCAGGCAGTGTGATAATTCCTGTTATTATGAATTCCTGTGAGATTTTAAAATATAAAATTTTTTATAATTAATTATTTGAAGAGAGGTTAAAGGGAAGAGTCAGCTCCTGATTATGTCTTGAAAAAGTTTTAAATCATTGTCTTTTTTAAAATAGAATGTACTGTTGCTACAAGAGGTTTTGTAAGGGTTTTGCAAATTAGAAGGCAGCTTTTAGAATTATGTGGGTTGCAGATTAATTTACTGATTGTCTGTCTTAGATGTAAATGCTTAACATAAGGCTTGATACAAATATAATTTTTACATGCAGATTTTAAGTCCCAAACATCACATTTTGTTTCTTTTATCAGCAAAAGGGTGTTTTTTTGTTTAAACTCACCAGAATGGTCGATTTGGTTTAGATTTTTTCTTATCCAGTTACCAGGAAAGGCGGGCTCATACCCAAGGCTTTGACCATCCTGGCCTTCATTTCAAATAAAATATTGTAATTTGGCGTGAAGAGGTTTGAATACCTGAACGAAAGGGTGATATTGAATGAATCCAGCTTATTTTCTAATGCTTGATGTTTGGCTTAATACTGCTTTACAACTGTCAGGTTACTCATCATAATGAGTTCTTTTCTAGGAAGCACTCCAAAAAATACGACAGAAGAATACAATGAGGCGAGAAGTAACAGTGGAGCTAAGTAGTCAAGGATTTTGGAAAACTGGCATCCGTTCTGACGTCTGTCAGGTGATGATGCCTCTGAGAACACATTTATACCTATATACCTCTTTCTTTAAAAGGCATCTGCCACTGAAGTTTTCCTAATTCTGTTGAATCTATAGAACATACTATCTTGTAGCTAAATGGAACACCAACCATAAATTGTTTTCTGTTGTTTCGGTTTCGTTTTTGTGTCAGTTTTCATGTTGTCTTGTTTAGTTGTGTGTGTGTGTGTGTGTGTGTGTGTGTGCGTGCGCATATGCACGTGCACAGTGGTGGGGTGAGTGGGGGGGCAGTTACTTAGTAATGCTAAATTCTGTCTCTGCATGTTGAGTGAAGGCATGTGTATTCTTCAAATAAACCTGCCTGTGTGCAGCGTATGTGTGGGTGCTTGTCAAAAGAGATACTCCGGGGTGCCTGGGTAGCTCAGTCGTTAAGCATCTGCCTTCGGCTCAGGTCATGATCCCAGGGTTTTGGGATTGAGCCCCTCATCGGGCTTCCCTGCTCTGCGGGAGGCCTGCTACTCCCTCTCCCACTCCCCCTGTTTGTGTTCCCTCTCTCGCTGTGTCTCTCTCTGTCAAATAAATAAAATCTTAAAAGAAAAAAAAAAAAGAGAGATACTCCAACAGCTCTACAGGCAGACTCCTGAAGATACTGTGTCCAAACTTTCCAGACTGATGACTCAAACTTATAGTGCAGAGAACTAAAGGCATTAATGAACAAAATCAGTATAAATTTCATATTTGAGCCAAATGATAATAGTTTTTCCTTGGGTGAACTAATAGTGGAACATTTCAGCTATATATAACTCCTACTAATAACTATTTTTGTTTTCCCTATGAGTGGATTTTATACCAGATTAGAGACCCCTAAAACCCAGCATATTCTTTGAGTCTTCACTTCATTCTTTTGTTATGATTAATACTGGTTATGCTCTGTGGGAATTACAGTAAAGGCAATGAATACTCAGGCAGGGGTCAGGTAGTGTAGTTTGTCATGTTCAGCCTTTGGGAGAAACACTTAACAGGCTTCCACTCGCTCTGTTTTGATGGTAGCGTGTATGGTGATAAGTTCAAGGTGTCTTGGGTATTTATTTTATCACAATGAGGTGTTTTTTCTTGAAGTTAGTGTTGGCATTTAATTCTTATATTGAACAGTGGGATTTAATCTTATTATTAAAGGTATTGCTAGGTGATTCATTGTGATGTCCAGAGCTACATAGTTTTGTGTTAAGACGGACTGCTATTGATGCCATGTTACTAGATAGTTTGAGAATAATTCTCTACAGTGGCAGCCAGCTGTGTCTACCAAAGTCTTCAGTTATTTTGCTAACTGACCAATTTTTTTTTTACTCTAAGTATTCAGAAGTGAGTATCTTCTGCTGATTCTTTCTTAGGGCCTTGAAGCTATATTATCCAGTTTTTCTGTTTCTCAAAACCGACATAATGTCATCCTAAGGTAGACAGAAGAACGCCGAGCAGAATGTTCAACAATCTGCTCAAAATCTGGTGTTCTCAGTGATAAGTCAGGGTTGATAGAGACATCATAAATTGTAGAGCATTATTAACTGGAAGGGACCTTAGAGATCTTTCAGTTCAGTGGATTTTAAACTTGTGTTTTTGTTAATTTTGAACATTTTCTTTTTTTTTTTTTAAACAAAACCCTGTAGAGCCCTCATCTGTAAAAAGAAAAAAATAACTGATTGGTGGGTGGTGGCTGTGGAGGGAGTATCTTGTACTTGATTTCCACCCTATGTAGCAGGCCCTGAGGCAGTTTTGTTCCACTGAACACAATTTTGTTTAAAGCATTGAGCCCTTTTCCCCCTTTCTTTTGGTGAAATGCCTGCATACGGGTGCTGAATAATCTGTGCTACTGCAGTTCTGTGTTCTTCAGCTGTGTCACAAATATCTTACTCTGGCTTCTCAGCTAGGTTAGAAGCAGCCAGAGGACGAGGTTATCATCCCCTTATGTATTATATTTTACATTCTGTTTGGAGATTGGCAGGCAAAAGCACTCAGTTCCTTTGACTAACTGGTCAGAGAAATTGGATCCTGATTAAAACTCCTGCCAAGGTGAATACTCCTTGATCTAATAATAGTCCCCCTCTTCCAAAGACAACTGCCATTTGTTTAGAAGCCATGTTTCCAGTCTCCAATCCTCCTATTTTTTACAAGTAATGTTGGCCTTATTTAAGTTCTTATCCTAGAATAAATGTTTCTTTTTGTGTGTGTTCCTCAAATAAGATGGCAGGTGGCGTGTAATAATGCAGTTTAAAACATTCAAAATAAAGGCATTTAGTATGTTTGGTAATGAAGAATAAGAATCTGAGAAATAGCAGTTAAATGACTACTTTGAATAATCCTGAAGCCTGTGAACAGATAAACTCATGCTTAATTATAAGGGGGGGAAAAAAAAGCACTTCTCTAAAATCCTCAGGGGTGGGGATAGAAGGATTCTCTATTTGGTAATTCACTGATGTAGAACCTACTGTTCATTAGTAATAATTGCTAGTAGGTTGCTGGCAAAAGCCTTGTGATGTTATCTGGCTCCTGCTGGAGATAAAACTATTGTGATAAATCTAAGGTGGAGAAACCTAAGTACCAGCCTCTCATTCCGGAAGTATGATTTCCCAACCAGAGAAGTTACTAGGGTTTTTATTAGGTTAGAAAATTCTACCTGATGTCCCAACCAGTGTTAGGAGAAATGGAAATCTAGGGCTGAGCCTGGAACTTGTAATTACATGTGAACTAAATGCAGAACTTGAAGTCATATTTAGAGACAAACTATTGAAAGGTTTTTTTCTGTGTTGCTGTTTATTAGAGTGACTTCTAGGTAATATAGGGGGGAAAAAGCAGGAATTAAAACCTGAAACTGAGGCTGAAAAATTCAACAGTATGCCTCAGAAAAGGCAGAAAGGCAACATGTTGCTACAGGATCCATATTTTAAGAATGGGGTTCTGCCCACTGAGGTTGAATTGGTATCTTTTAGAAGTAGGTACTTGTACCCTCTGCTACAGTAAGGAGGTGGCTCATGGGAATCAATAAACTGAACCATAAGAATGGAAAATGGATAAAGGTGACAAACAGAGACATCAAACTATCTAGTTACACGGCATCAACGGTAGCAAGGAATCTGCTACCATTATGGTCATCTAACCCACATAAGGCTTATGCTGTATTCGGGGGTACTAACTCCTTGAGAAAACTAAGGCTCAGGACGTGGAGAATTGCTGTTGGTGCTGGAAAGATGAGCTGAGTTGTGGTCTTGGTATTTATACTGAGTAGACACAGGGCTGTATGGGGACTCGTTAATAGCTGTGCTGTCTTCCCACAGTGACTCTGGAATGGAAGGGAAGGCTCCCATGCAGTATCACACTAACTGATATTCTCTCTCCATGATCTATCAAGGGGTGACTGAATAGTGAAAAGAAATATCTCTAGGGATTAAGGGGTTTTGGACAACACATTCAAGGAATCATTTTCTAAGTTAGAACTTGGGGTGGAAATGGAGATTTATACCTCTGAGAGACATACGGCTTCATAGTTACTGTTAACAAATTTTTGAACCATGTGAGATACTTGATTTTTTTTTTTAAACTGGAGATGTAGTGCTTCTTGTAAAGGAAGAGAACAAGATTTTGCTTGAAGGCTAACTGGCCTGATAGAGAGCTGTCAAAATTATATTTTTATTATGCAAATTTCCAACATCTACAAGATGAGGCAGAAAAGTGTAGGGAGCACTCTGCTATCCTCACACAGCTTCAGCTGTTACCAGCAGCATCTCTGTAATATCCCAGTCACTGTTCATGTATTCCTGATTATTTTCTAGATATGTTTCAGTCTGCTTAAGTGGCCGTTCAGACAAAGATCCATACATGAGTTGATGTGGTTTAAGTCTCTTTACTCTTTAGATTCTCATTCCATTTTTCCCTTGCAAATTTTTGTTGTTGAAGAAACTGGATCTTGTGTTCTATGGTGTTCCTGAGGTCTAATCTGGGATTTGCTGATTGCAACTTCATGGTATCATTTAACGTGTGCTTCTCTCCCTTATATTTCCTATAAATTATTATAAACTGCTGTCTAATAGAATACCACTGGCCATACGTGGCTACTTAAATTAATTAGAATTAAATGAAATTAAAAATTCGGTTTTTAGTTGTCCTAGCCACATTTCAAGCGCTTAATAGGTACACCTCGCTAGTGCCTATTATAACAGCAGAGATGGAGAATATTTTCATCATCATAGAAAGTTTGGTTGGATGGCAGTGATTAGATTTAAGTTTATTTTTTTGTACAACTTTTTCACAGGTGGTAGTGTGGTGTCTCTCTCTGTGTCTTTTTATAATAAGTGATAATCCAAACATTTAATAGTTCTTTCAGAAAGTAAATTCTGTTATTAGAAATCTGACTTAATCAGACCATTTTTCATTTGAAGAAATAAGTGTTCAAATTGGAATGTATTTCTCCTCAATCATATACCTCTTTTTAAAAATGAAGTATAGTTGATCTAAAATTAAATTAGTTTCAGGTGTACAACACGTAGTGATTTAGCAATTACTTACATTACAAAATACCACAATAAGTGTATTGCAGTATTACTGACAGTATTCCCTGCGCTGTACTTTTTATCCCTGTGACTTATTTATTTTATAACAAAGTTTATACCTCTTAATTCCCTTCACCCATTTCATCCATTCCTCCAACTCTCTTCTCTTTGGCAACCTCCAGTTTGTTTTCTGTATTTATGAGTCTCTTTCACTTTTGTTGTTGTTTGTTAGTTCATTTGTTTTATTTTTTAGATTCTACATATAAGTAAATCATTGAGTTTTTTTGTCTTTCTCTGTCTGGCTTATTCATTTAGCATAATACCCTCTAGATACATCCATGGTCTCTTTTTTTGTGTGTGTGACCTTATAGTCACTGGTGAATTATGACCTAGACCCAGGATTTATTAAGAGCTGCCAAAGTGATATTTTAATTCTGTCTTTCTGTATTTATTAGAATACTTAAAAAAAGGATCTTCCCCT